GCCTTTTATGTATCTCTTTAAATTGTTTATATGTGATTGACAAAATATTGTTAGTTTATTAATATTTTGCTTAAACTTGAAAAACTATTTCCTGAAATTAGGAAAAGTACACATTAGTTGGATTCATGTTAATTTTTAACGGCCCTTAAAATAGCACCCAGAAATTCAACTTCTAAATTTTTTAGGTTATTCAAAAAATAGACTACCTATTTTCAATTAATCCACTTTTTTAAAAGTAAATATTGCTAATACGGTTATTGCCCAGACATGATTGAGCCGACACGGTGACATTGTCACAGAACGTTAGTTTTTGCAAAAAGATTTTTTTTTAATTTGGGAAAGGGAAAACTTTAGTTTTCCTTTCTGCATAATTTTTCGAAAAATGTTTTTTTATTTTTTTTTCTGCAGAATTTTTTTTAAAGATTTATTTCTTTTGTATCAGAGAGGAAAAAAGAAGTAATCGTGGTTTTTCTATTCTCATTTTGGATTGGAAAAAAAGTCAGTAATGGCTGGTTTCAGCTAGAATTTTAAATCAATATAATATAAATTAAAAGAATTCAGAAATCGCGAAAGTTTAAACGATAGTTCACTCTAGAAATGATGCTCTTTCATTTTTTTCTGTTATTTGAGTATCTTTTTTTTTATTATTTTATTTTTTAAAGATTCTTATTCGAGCGATTTCGCCGTCGATCTTTATTTTGGAGTTACTGTACAAACACCAACCGGGGACCCAACCGGAACATCTGCCCTTGCACCTCAGAGCCCAAAGGTCAAGAAAACTGAGGTGGGCACCTTGGCTCTCTATGGGCTGTAGTTTAGTAGCACAGATTTTACAATTTTTATTTTATGTACAAAATCTTAATTTATTGTCGTTTAATTTATTTATGAATTTTCATTTTTCCTAATACAAAATTCTAGAAAGCGCCTATATAATTGAATTAAAATAATATTACTTTTACAATTACAATTTTTATACTCTTTATTCTATACTTTCTTCTGTAAGCACAATGTTATTTTAAATAAGTAATTGTTAAGAATCTTAAAAAAATATTGATACTTGTCGCAGAAAGCCCGAAAAAATTCTGCCAGTGGGGGTTATTGTATAGAAATATCGCTTTCCTTCGAATGAATAACTGACCAGGGCGGCCACCCACCTGGAAAACCTTGAAGACCTGGAAAAGTCAGGGAAATTTAGATAAAAACCTGGAAAAATCAGGGAATTTTAAAGAGAAGCTGGAATTTTTTTATAGATTTTCTTAATTTAAATTATTTTATGATCCGTTATACCGACATTTTTAAACTGAAATTTATTGCCAAACAGTTGAAATATCAACTTAGCAATATTTTGCATGCATCAAAATTTACTCCATTAATCCCTGTTAAACTAGAATGCCACCTAAAACCCATAATTGCTAAATGAATGGAGAAACCTTTTTGGAGACAGTTTTGGAAAGGCAAAGAAAGTGGAGGTTGAAGAAGGAGTTAAGATATTTCCTTTTGTTTATAAAAGTAGCATTTGTTTCACTTCTAAACCGTGGGTTGAATCCATTTATCGCTTGTTCCGATGCTTTAAGTTTCTTTCTTTCTTCTGACTGTATGTTTAAGAATGTTTTAGTATTTTTAATTTCATAAAATTCACCCCAAATTGGTTGGTCATAATTTAATAGATTTTATGTTATACTCTTTTTCTAAAAGCTTTTGTACACCCATCCAAATCTGTGATTTTTTTTTTTCTCAGCAAAGCCAATCAAATCACATATTTTCTTACAATCACTAACAGCAATGTTTGTCAGCAAATCATACAATTTTTAATGCTAATTTGCTTGATTTCATTTTAACCTTTTATAACATATTTTACTTTTTAAAAAAAAGGTTCTTTTAAGGATTAACCATATGTTAACATGGTTATATTAACATTTTGTTGGTAAATATTTGATTTTTAATTCAAAATTAACTTTTGATTTAAAATTTGATTCACAATGTCCAATTCAAAATTTGACATTGTGTAGTAATAACAATGTCAAAGTTCGTTAATGTTACTCTTTTTCCAGAGATGATATTTCCTAAACTGTTTCTCCTTTTACCTTAAGAAGCTGGCAAAAATTAGGGAATGTATAGGAAACATGTTAAATGTTGTATAAACAGAGGATATAAATTTTTTTTATTCATATGTGTTTATTAGGAAAAAGGAGAATGAAACTGTTTTTTTTTTGTTCTGCACTGTGCAGGTTTCTAGTTATAAAAGCAAACAAAAAATTAACTAATCAAGCTAAAAAATCATTTAGCTACATATACAAATATGCCAAATCACTATTCATTACATCCCTAATGAAAATATATTAATACTTGCCAAATTTTTTTTTTTTTTTTTTTATTTTTTTATTTTTAATCGAATTAATGCAACCATTTGTTGCGGCTTGAGATAATGTATTCTTACATGAATTAGGTTTTCATGTATATTAAAAGATACTTTGTTTATAATATTCAAAAATTGTAAAATAAAAATAAAAAATGCAAAATAAAACAATCAAGCAAAAATAGAAAATAAAAATTCAAGGAAATACAGAATAAAACTCAAAATGTAATATATAAAGCGGGTAGCGAATTCAAATGTACTTACACTTACCGGCATTTCTTAAAAATGATTTAAAATGCTTTCTTAACAAGTTTGCCAGATTTCAAAATACAAAAGTAGAAGGCGTAAATAGAGGATGAAGAGAATCAACGAATTGCACGTTCTTACTGAAGTACAGAAAAGCGTTTGATTTGTTAGTTACCTTGAATTGGCCCGAATCTGTATGTGCGCAAGGTAATAATATTATGCTGGATAATTCAAAGTTTATAGTAAATAAGGTTGTTCCGCATCCTGCTTGCACTGACCACAGTGCTGACGTGAAATATCTCCAGTGGTAGACGGATCATGGATTAGAGTCACCTTGCCGTCAGGCTGACCGTGGGAGGTTCTCGTGGTCTTCCTCTCCATGTAACGCAAATGCGGGTTAGCTTCATCAAAAAGTCCTCCACGAAGGCAAATTTCTCCCAATACTCGATCTAGGAGTTCCCTTGTCTTCTGGATTGGGTTTAAAATTACAAGGCTACGGAGTTGAACATTAGTAGTCGTAAACCCATAAAATTGGGTCGGCTGTTCAACAACGGTTATAAAAAAATNAACAGAACGTCTCATACTATTAATTTATTATCACTCTTTCCCTGTACTGTAATATAAATAACCAGTAACATAGAAAAGTGTGATTTTCAGTATTAAAGTTTTGTTTCAGGAACTAAGAAAAATTTGTTTTTTCTGTTTTTCTTTTTTTAGGTATTTTTATTATGATTCAGCATTCTTTTTTAAAAATGAAGTTACTAACAAAATTTATTTTATAGCAAGTTTTTTTCTTCTAAAATTATGGATATGAGAAAAATTTAAATTGAGATTTTCGGCATAAGATTTCCATTTAAAAAATTAAGAACGTTTTCTATCTTTTTATTTTCTTTAAATAAAAAAAATCTTTTTTTAGACATTTTCCTTATAACGCAGTAATTTTTAATAGCATTTCTTCAATGTAAACACTTTTCCCTGACGTTTTGAAATGCTAGCCAAAGTTAAATTACAATTATTTTTTATATTTTACTGTTGACTTAATTCTTTTTTCTTTGCTTTTTCTGGTAATTGAAAATCTGAGATGTTCAGCTTTAAAATTTTTTTCAAAAAATTAAGATTGATTTTTATGTTCTCTGTTTCGCTTTTCAACATTTTCAAAAACGTTCTTGATTGGCCTTATTTTTTAGAGTTAATTTATGAATGCGTTTTTCCAGGAAATATTATTCTGAGCATTGAAATTTTAGTTTCAGTGTTGCTATGCTGCTAAAAGATTTTGCTATTGGGTCCCAAGTGTACGGCGTTCAGTCGATTTTTTTTCTTCTTTTTTTTGTCAAATATTTGGTTTTTGATCAAATCACAATTCATTACCACATTCGACCAAATCATATTCGTTGCGGAAATAAAAACGTTGAGGAAATAAAAACTAAGGAAAAATAGCTAGGATTTACGATAAAACTGTACTGAAATACCCTATCAAAAGGGATTATTTAATCGCGCGATTAACAATCACGTGTCGTAATAACATCTAGTTAAATAGCAGGATCGTCAAAATCTCGTGGAAAAGTATAGAAATAATTGGAAAAAAATATATTTATGCTGAACTCATCACGAATAAAGCGTGTCAAATGCATGATTTAAAATTTGCATGTCGTAATAGAACAATTGGAATTTTTTATAATACGTGGGAAGGCAGAGCAGTAACTGCCGAAAAAAATGGTTGAAAAAAAAATAAAGAATTGCAAAAAGAAGATAAAAAATCACTTAGATTTAAGATGAAATTGTCACAAATAAAGTGCACAAAAAGTGATTATTTAAATTTGCGATTTGAAACTCGCGTTGTAATAAAAATTCCGGGTTTTCGAAATCACGTAGAAAAGCGGAAATAACTGTTTTAAAAAAAATCATTATTTACGATAAAATCGGCTTAAACGTACATTTACTAAAGAATCTGTTAAAATTGATTGCGTCAAAACGTGATGACTTAAAAGTGCGATTAAAAATTGCCACTTTTTAAATTTTTTTTAATTGTGTTTAGAAGCTCTCGCAGGCTGCACTTCAACAGTCGAAAGGCGGCATTTGACCCGCGGGCCGCAGGTTGTGCACCCCTACACTAAACTTTTTTTATTCAATCAAAACAATATATTTTACTTGCTAAACATATTATTTTCTCCACATCCAACTTGTACCAAGACGTTAAGAAAAAAAAATGCTAAGTTAAAATAAATGTACTTTAATTATTTTTTAATATGATTTATTTAAAAAATATCATTTTAAATAAAATGCTTTACAATTTTGGTACTTTTGTTGTATCCATCCTTATACTTTATGAAGAAGAAAAACGAAGGAAACCTGAGGCTCATCGTAGCTTCCATAGTAAGAGACATTTCTCATTGTTTAGATCTGATCGCAACGAGTGATGCGGCCATGTCCAGAAAGAAATCTTTCAAGAAGTCCTTGAGACAGTCCTTTAGAAGACTGAGGAAAGGTCGATCTCAGAGGGGGAAGAGAGACAAGACACCCACCAGAGAGGAGGCTGCAAAAATGTAATTCCTTTTCTTTTTAGTTGCAGCATTTAATTATTTATGTTAATTTCACATTCAAATAAAGTAGACTATTTTTTTAATTTTTTTTTTTTTTAGAAAAGTAAACATATGCCACGCTAGTTTTAAGAGACTCAACATACTATTTGTTCTACTCTCTCAAAATAAATATAATTTCAGATTTTTTATTTAATATGACCTTTTCATAATAGTTCAATATTTATTAAGTAAACTAACATTCCATCTTACCAATGATAAAATAATTTTAAAGTTGTAATAAATGCCTCTTAACAATTTTGGACTCAATCACTTCAATGACATGAAAGAGAGGAACAAAAGTGCATTTTATGAATCCATTTGATAGTTTCATTGCAACAAGAGGTGTCATAAATCTATATTTTATTTATAGTTAGTATACAGTACTCTCTGAGCATCATATGTGTACATTCATATTAAATAATTTTTTGTTTTCATTTAGTAAATAATTTATTTACAAAATTACCTAATATTTATTTGAAATTTAAGCAGTTTTTTTAAATAAAATGTTCTAAATTTAAGAAACAGAGTTGTTTTTTGAAATAATATATCAATTGAAATGATTAAAAATGTAAGCGAATTTGTTTCTGTTATTTGTCCTGAACGACTAGTTGGCATTTAAACAGTTTAGACTAATTACCAAAGATTTGTATTTGATATTTATTTTTAAAAATGTAATTATTTAGAATTAATTTTTCAGTGTTAGGTATAATCTTGTATCTATTTACAATTTAAAAACTCCTTAAAAGTATTTTTTTTCAACGACAGCCTCCTATTTCTACACATTTATCATAGTAGGACCCTGGTTGAAAGATCGTGACTTAACGCAAATTTTAGATTCACAAATTATGAGTAGTTTTTTTTTTAAATTTTGCAAAAACAGGACCCTTGAAATATTTGGGCAGACCTTTGGATGCTCAATTCACTAGAAAAAGTATATGAATCTATCATTCTCCTGTCTTAGTTTGAAATTATTCATCACTGTACAAAAGAATATTTCAATCATAAAAATTTTGGCTAATATTTCTTCCCATTTAAAAAAAAATAAATGTATTTTTAATTTATTTTTTACACTTTCCCTAACTCTACTTCTGTGCAACTGCCTCATTTATTCTACCTTCATATTTGACCTTTATTTATTCTGTGCACTGCTCATGAACCTCAAATAAAATTTGTAGACTAAGATTTTATCAATCTGTTACAATTTTAGTCTATTTGTTTTAAATGTTTGTGTCATTTCCATTTTTGTAATGTTCATAATTCAATCTTTTATGATACAGTGAAATCTGTAAGTTGACCACTTGTGCTTAATATTTATGGTCAATTTATAAAGGGGGATTAATGTATATAATTTCATATACTGGTATGTCATATTTCGTATTGTGATAAAATGCAAATGAGGCTGATTTTTTATGAATACAGTGAACCTTCAAAGGACTGAAATTTTATTTCACTATAACAGGGTGTTCACTATATCCGTACTGCAAGAAGTTTTAACTCATTTCTCCGAACTGCTCCCTTTTATGACTCGTCATTTAAATAAATGACCCATAACAGGAAATACAAAAATGATTAAACAATATGTAATAACAAAAACTTATTTTTTATGACTCTTTGTCTTGCGTAAAAGAAATTTACGGATGACCTTTATTTAGGGATAGAAGAAGAGAACAAGAAAAAAATGCTTATGGCTTCATTCTACTCTATAAATAGTTTTAAAATTTGGTATATGTATTTTATGTAGAAATTTCAGAATTACCAAAAAATGAAGGGGAAAAAAAATCAGTCGTAGGCGGAAAAAGTTATATAGGTATAGCAAGGCACAGGAATGAGCATTTCGTTCACTATATGCGGGTGTTCACTGTAAACCATGTTCACTATAGCAAGGTTTGACTGCCCAAATAGTTTGGTAAATTTCTTTTTTGTTTTGTTGGTTCATTCGAAACCTGATCAAAGAATGCAGAAAAAATAACAAAAAAACTGTCGTATTTCGAATGCCTCCATAGCAGAGAGAACAGCCAAACAAAAATACATCTAAATTTGTTCTGTACCTCTTACTTTTGTTGCAAAAGTGGCTCTTTGCAATCTGTTTCTTTGATTCCATCTGCTGTTCTTACTGAATGGGGGTGTGATAGCAAATATTGATGCAACATAAGTTATTAATCCTTGTAAACTGAAAGAGAAACAAGAAAACTCTGGAAGAAAAATGTCAGAAAAGGCCTTTATTTTGATAGCTAAAAGTATTCAACAAAAACTACAGAGAAGTGTGCGAAGTAGAAAAACTGGCATGAAGGATTTGTTTGGAGCTTATACATGCTAGCCATAGGAGTTTATGCATGCCAGCCACAAACTTCCATTAAGGCATAACAGCAGGATCTATAGGAATAAACAGGGTGGCCACCCACCTGGAAAACCTGAAATTATCAGGAAGTTTTTTATTACTGAAAAAAACCTGGAAAAATCAGGGAAATTTGGATAATAACCGGAAAAAATCAGGGCATTTTAAAGAAAAGCTGGAAATTTTTTTTTAGATATTTTTTTAATTTCACTAATTTAAATTATTTACTAATTTTCTTAATTTATATTATTTCATCCATTATACCCACAATTTTTAGACAAATGTATCTCACAGCAGTTAAAATGTCATCAAATTAGCTATACTTTACTTGCATTAAAATTTGCTCCATTATGACCCTATTAAACTAGAATGCCACATAAAATTCTCTCATGGTTGCGAAACAAATGTAGATACCTTTGATCTCTATGGGACTGTAATTTAAGAAAGGCAAAGATTGGGCTAGACTTGGAAGAAAGGGTTAGGATATTTGCTTCTGTTTTAAAATTCTGTCCGTGGGCTGAATCCATTTATGGCTCAAGTTTGTTCCGATGCTTTGGTGGTAATTTTTTTCTATTTTGACAATGAGTTAAACTGTTTTTGTATTTTTAATTTAATGAAATTCTCCAAAAATTAGTTGGTTATAATTTAATATAGATTTTATATTTTCTGAAAGTATTTGTGTTCCCATTCAACGAAATCTGCAAATTATTTTTCTCAGCAAACTAACCAATCGCACATTTCTTTACAATCCCTGAACAGCTATGTTTGTCGACAAATTGTTACAATTGTTGCATTAATGCTAATTTTTTCTATTTCATTTATACCTTTTATAACATATTTTAATTAAAAAAAAGTTTTTTTTTAGAACTAACTATATATTAATATTTAATTTTACTGTTTTGTTGGTAAATATTTGATTTTTAATTTCAAAATTTGAATTGTATAGTTATCACTATATCGAAAGTTTGCAAATGTTGCTTGCCTTCCAGAGATGATATTTCCAAAACTATCCCTCCTTTTTCTCTAAAAAGCTGACAAAGATGAAGGAATATATAGGAAACATATTAAATGATATATAAACATAAAATATAAATTTTTTTAAAATTCATATGTGTTAAGTCGGAAGAAGGAAGATTAAACTTAGTGTTTTAGTTATTTGCTGTTCAAGATTCTAGTTGTTAAAACATAAACAATTAACTATGCTAAACTAAAAAACTGTGTGTTTAGATTGGAATTCTTAAAATGTTTTAATTTCAAATAAGAAAACAAAATCAAAAAAGTATGAATTAAGGAAAGTATAAAATTAAAATTTGTTATAAAATTTATCTATTTTTTTTTGTCTGTATAGTATAGAACAAAAAATTGGACAATTTTACATTTGTGACATTTATATTGTATGCTGAATCTCTTAAAATAGTAATGCTAATTCAAAACATAATTTAAAAATTTGACTTCAGATATTGGTTTGAGGAAAATATGATCAATGAATTTTATAAAAAGTACTGGTAAGAAAACATACAGTATAATGCAGTATACAGTACAGCTTTATATTGAAATGTAATTACAGTGACTCACAAAAGTGTTGGTACACTTATGACTTTCAATGAAATAAGACTATCGATTAATTAAAACGAATATTTGAGAATGGATATTAATTATAAAAAATGTATTCTAATCTTAACAAAACTGTATGAAATATTTTAAAAACAAAGGAAAAGTTTATTAAGAAATCAATCATCAAAAAGTGACGAACTTATCCCACGAAAGTCATCGTACACTTTCGAAAAAAAGATCTGTATTATTAAATCTAATTTTTCATTAAATTAACATTTAGAAGAGTTTCCTTTCGCATCTACAATAGCTTTTATAAGTTTTTAAATACATGTAACTAGTTTTTTTTTTTGTCGGGAAATTTGTGCAGAATATTTTTAAAAAATTTTACAGAAACTTTTGCAACACTCAATTCCGAATTTATGAATTTTTCCACAAATTTTATGATTTTAATCTGTGGTATGAAGTCCTTCTTTTAACCATTTTATCACATATTGCACAGTGCACTAGGATACAATAAACTAATTTAACGTATTTATTACTAATTTACCTTTTATGATGAAAAATAATCAAATTTAGTCTATTGTTTTATTACGACCACAAGTCGTTTTTGAATGATAAAATATGATGTAATTTTTGCAAGCAAAAATAAAAATATAATTTTGCTATCATAAGTTTGATAATAAATTGCAAATAAATAAATAAAAAATTAAAGCAATTGACTATAATTTTTATTCTGAAATCCGGAAACATTTAACTTTTGCTTTGTTTTTAAAATATTCCACGCAGTTTTGCTAAGAATCGATTATACATCTTATTCTCAAATACCCATTGTGAAATATTCATTTTAATCAATTAATTTTTATTTCCTATTTCAATAAAAGTGAACACTTTTGGGAGCCACTGTTATTGTAAAAATTTATTGATATATAATTACCTGAAATGATTTTCCTTTGCTTAATGAAAAGATATTAAACAATAGTTATTCAAGGTTTTATTGGTTATTCTGTTTCTGTAATTTTGTAGGTGCACTTTGAGCAAATACCACTTAAAGTAACACATTAAAAAATATTTATTCAATAAGAACAATATGTTCTACAAGCTAAACATATTATTTTCTCCACATATCTTCTTCAGCGCGACAGCCCCTTACAGGCCTTGGCTGCCTCAACCATTGCTAGCCTCCAACGCCTCCTATCCATGGCGACTTTTTTCCTGTTGCTAATCTTTATTACTTTGAGATCTTTAGTAGTGTCATCCAGCCATCTAGTTGGTCTTCCTCTGGCCCGAGATCCAGAAGGATTTTTAAAGGTGGCGATTCATACTGCGTTGTTTTCTAACCTCTGGATTATTTTTTACTCTAACTTCTGGACCTCTCCAGATATGGCCAAACCATCTTAATCTATTGCTTCGGATGACCTGCACTATCTGTAGCTGTCCATAGAGTCTATATAATTCAAAGTTGTATCTGATTCACCAACAGCCTCTTTCCTGTACTGGACCAAAAATATTTCCAAGGATTTTCCTTTCAAAAACACCAAGAGTACGCTGAGTGTCTGCGTTTAGTGTCCATGTTTCACTTGCTTAGAGCAATAAAGGTAGAATAAGAGTCTTATAAATTTTAATTTTGGTAACTCGATTATAAATTATTTTTAATTTCGACTGATTAGGCTTGATCTTAATTGCTTTCTTAGTCCAAAGAAACACCTGTTTGCCATTTTAATTCGGTTGTCTACTTCTGTTTTTATGCTGTTTTGGTCATCGATCATTGTTCCAAGGAATTTGAATTCATTAAACTTTTCAAAGGTGTAACCATTTATGAATAAAGGATCATGATTTACAGTTGTGGCTGGAGATTCCATAAATTTAGTTTTATCTTCGTTGATGGTAAGGTCCATATTTGTGGCAGAAGTTTAAAGTGCCAGAAAGGCCTCTCTCACTGCTCTCTCTGACCTTCTTATGACATCGATATCATGAGCATATGCCAGTAATTGAACTGATCTATTCCAAAGGGTGCCTTTTCGGTCTAATCCACTATCTCTGATACATCCACATATCTTACTTTTTAAAAATGAATTTTGTGCCAAAACATTAAAAAATAAAATAAATTTTTTTTTTCAACATATGTTAAAAAGTCATTCTAAATGAATTATTTTATAATGTAGACACTTTTCTTGTACACATCCTAAACAACACTTGTACAAAAAACAAAATACAGACCTGGAAATTTTAAGATTTTTATCTGGAAAACCTGGAAAAATTGGGGAAATTTTAAATCTGATTTGAGTGGCCACCCTGAATGAAGTCATTAAATTTGAGAAGAAAAATTATTTTTTATCTAACATTAAAATGGATCTGATCAGTCTCTGAAGAACAGTGCACACGTAGTTTGACTGTCAAAGATCTGGGTCGCTTACCGTACTAAGATTACGCAGCACTTAATAAAGGTATTTTGTCAGTATTGAAAACATGTGTATGATGATCTTTTAACGTATATAATGAAAAAAGAAATTTTTATTTTCAAAGCAAATGTGAGGCATTTAAAAAAAACTGACTGAATTATTTTTTAAATTTATTTTGATACTGATAGTTTTAAAATTATACCTTTAAGGAGCCAGAGTTTTAAAATGTGTTCAGAACCTCGAAATTCGAAGAAAAAAAAAGTAAAATTTCAAATAGACAGTGTGGGATATTTAAAAATTATTTTTTCCTTTGCTATTCATGAACTTAAAGAGTTTCTTGAGGAGTGATGCGTTTTTAAAATTTGTCTAGTAAAATAGAGGGAGCTTATGGATGACCATAAACTTGCTTATACTGTGTTGGGTTAATCTCACAGGTTTCACTGTACAACTTTCAATTTATAAATTTGCAGTTACATATAAATTTTTCTTTTTCTTGCTTATTTCTGTATCTGTAGCTTAACTGCTCTTACCTTCCTTCTACACTCCTCCCAGCTAATTCAAAGCTTTATTGGTAGGTATCATCAAGCCGTATTTTTGCATGCCTTTTTTAAATGCATGCAGATGAATCAATTTCAAGAGCGTTAACTCTAACATTATTATTTTTTAAAATATTTGAGTTAAGTGCTAATAGAATAATTATTGTAGGTCAATATATTTTATTTTTCTATATGGAAAATTAACTTTTGCTACAACATGGTGTGTAGTGTTTTTAAAAAGTGCTTAAAGATGCTTATTTTTAATTTTTAAAAGACCTTAAAGGTGCTTTTTTCATTGGGTGTTTTTAAAAAGTGCTTAGGTTTAAATTTAAAAAAAAGATTTCTTTTTTATGTCTGTTTTCGCCGTGTTTTATGCAAAAGTGTGCTTTTCAAATAGTTCTATTAAGCGTTTTCGCAATTCATTCGACCATAATCCATTTCGGTGTACCGTCAGTTGGTAGCGTATGAAAGCGCTAATTGTTTTACATGTTTGATAAAATACTTGAGAGTCCGCACATGTGCCTACTGAATTGGGTTCGGTGAGATTCTCATTTGCAACTCTGCTGTATTTTGCAAGATATTCTCAATTTCAGGTTTCATCCTCTGATATCGAACCCAAACATATCGTGATCATTTTATAATAGCTAATATAATAATAAGAAAGAAGAGTTATTCAAAAATTAGTTATTTTATAAAGATCATGTAAAGTTCTTTGAAAATTATTTTACATTTTATTAATGTATATAGTGCTTAAAGATATTTTTTGAGTGCTTAAAAAGTACTTTAAAGATGCTTACTTTTTGTTGAAAGATTTGGCTACTATTAGGATTAGGTTTTGGGTGTACTTCTTGCTTGGTGCAATTGGACAAAGGACTCTTAATATGCTAACTATTATGTTACAATGCAAAAAAGTACCTTCCCTGAATGTGCATCTTTTTAATTTTAATCATATAGGTAATCTGCAAAATAGTGTGAAGCACACTGCCTGCAAAAATCAGTCTGCATTCCTTAAATTAAAAAGGCTTACTGCTATTCAAAATGTTTGACTTATTCTCTTTGTTAGCATGAAAAGTTAATTCTTTTGAGGTATGTTCCTGAGTTGCATTCATGTGTACTTTTTAGTTTTTCTCCTGTCATTGCAGTTAAATAAATTTTTTTCTTCTCTCTCCTTTAGTTAACCTTAAGTAAGCAGTGCAGTAACTTATAATTATTGTTCTTGTTCTTATTAGTGTTTCTGCTTTTTTTAATTTTACTGCATTTCAATTGTTATAAATTTTGATTATACTTTCAGTCTAATTTTATTACTCTCATTTTATTAATGTTGGTATTTTTAACAAAATTTTATCTTTTCAGCAAATGGTTATTAAACAGCCATATCACTGTGCATTATATATTTGTAAAAGGATTGAATTTTCAAATTTAAGAATCTATGTATTGAGAAAATTAAAACAATTTTCTTTCAGCATTCGAAACACAGGATGGTGTGTTCTGGTACAAAATCTAATATGCTCATTAATTTAACCTCAACTGCAAAAGCTTTTTTTGATTTAATAAAATTATTTCTGTGTTATTCCTATATTTTGGAGTTGTACTAAGTACTATAGATTTCATAACCTAAATTAAAAGTCGATAGATAAAATCTTGTTATCAACAAAACATTTCATTTTGCATTTACTTTTTATTTTAATTTTCAAAAAGGAAAAAAAAAATTCTTTCTATGAACCTTTTAACTTTTTTTGAAGAGTTATTAGAATTTTTGTGTAATGTCATGTCAATTTTTTTCTTGATTCAAAACTTTTGACACTGCTTTAAGGACTTGTTTCTAAATTTTAGAGAGGCTACAATTTTGTGGCTATATATATATGTGTGTGTGTTTGTGTATAGTATGCCTGCTAAATAATTGGTGCATATCAAAAACTTGCTTAATCTAGTCAGTTAATATATTGTTTCCATAATTTCTCCACAGTTCTGAGCCTGAAGCTGCAACTCCGATCACAGAAACTAAACCGGTTGAAAGGCAAGTCGAAGCTAGATCGGCGGATGACAGCATGGGTTCCATGGTTAGGTGCCTCTATCTGGCTCAAAGCTTTATCATTAACAGTATGTCTGATTGTTTTTACTCATTGTGATTTTATATTAGCTGATATTTTTGTTTACAAACCTTGAGTTTTTTTTACATTAATTTCCAGTTTAGCCTTTCCATTTTCCTTTTGTTTTTGATGTATCAATTAAAACCAGCTATAGGTTAAATTTAAATGTGTTAAATAATTTCTTATTCATTTTCTTATATTTAGATTTTTTTTATACAGGGTTCCCACAGTCTTTATAAGTCCTTAAAAACTGCTTAATTTTTATTTTGGAAAATAAGGGCCCTTAAAAGTCCTTAATTTTTTAGCATCATAGTTAATAGGAACAATTTTTCAATTCATTTTTTTAAAACAAAATGCCCTTTTTATGACTTCGAATTAGACCATGCATTACATTTAGACCATGCATTACAGGTAAAACATTTTAGAGATATAAAAATTAATGTGTGTAGGGGGGAGCTATAGGTAAGGGGAAGAAAGTATGTCCAGTTATTAATATATTGGTTCTTTCATTAATATATTCTACCTTTTTGCCCAGAATGATACTCTATGAGGAGAGTGAAGCGTTCTAAACGAAAAGAATAGTGTGAACAAGGCTAATACTTCACATGGAAAAGATAGTGCTTTTTTGGGGGGGGGGGCAGTTTTAAGGTACCTAAGTGAAAGACTCACACTAACCTTCAAAATTGACAGAATTCAAGAAATTCAGTTCTACTGGGGGACCATCCACTAATTGCATATTGTATTTAAACATTGATTTTACTTAATTGATTTTTTTTAATAATATTTTTCTGTTTTTTACTTATTGCATTTTATTATTGTATTATTACTTTCAAAATTTTCGGTACTCTTAATTTGTTCAAGGAAAAAACTTATTTCATGATTGTACTAATAAGTAAACAGATTTGTAAGAAACAGGGTTTGAAAAATCCCAGCCCACCTAGATTTTTCATCAGAAACATGGAGTTTATTGATTGGGTTTTTTAGATGAAAATCTCAAGTTTTTTTTTTTAAAAAAATACTTAAAATTTTTTTCCTAAATAAAAAAAAAAACATGATTTGCTTCTGACAAGAATGTTAAGTATTTGGTAACTATTTATAATTTGTTTTGTTGCAATGTAAATTTTTTTTAAAGTTTTAGATTGTTACGCTATTATTTTTATTCCTTAAAGATAAGCAAATTGTTACATAAAATATAAATCTACTCAACTGAATGATCCTTAGATTTTAATAATAATTTTAGTTAGTTAACATTGCAACTTAATATACTGTTTTTAATTTTTGTTCAATTTTAGGTTACTTTAAAATTACTTCCTGTTTTTTGCCAGAATATTTAGTAACATTAA